TAAGGATAAATATGCACACATTTTTTTATAAGCATTTGAAAATTGAAGTTCATATTTTGACAAAAATTGTCTAAATCACGAAAACGTAAATAATTTTGTTGTTCAAAATGTATAAAATGTTCAATTTTTATAGCCAAAGATTGAAAATGTAATACAAGGTTTTTCATAAGTATATTCCATGCTACAAGCAAAAAAATTAAGGAATAATATATAAACACAATTTTTAGACACTTTAAGTTAAAATTTGAACAATATTAGATATTATTCAAACGAAGAATAACGGTTAGGTAATACCCGGTATCATTTTCGACAAAAGATGCTCATGGACCCATCACATCAATTTTTTGAAATCAGCCATCACTCCACGTCTCAATATTATAAAAATGTTATCCCATACTTCATGGGGTTCTAAAACTCATGTATTGTTAACAATCTACAAATCCCTCATACTATCCAAACTCGACTACGGATCATTCATTTGGACAACAGCTAATAAATCGATTACAAAAAAACTAGATACAATTCACAACTCCGGACTTCGCATGGCTATTGGTGCCTATCGCTCTAGCCCAATACCGAGCATCTACAACCTAGCATGTACACCTCCTCTCGATATAAGAAGACTCAAAATAACATTAAATCACGAATTAAAGCTAGCTATCACTCTCCCTTCGCTCGACTTCAATCCAAAATTCAAAATTTTAACAACACTACTCCAGGAGAACAATCTAGTCATCTTTGATTTATTAACTATTTCACCTCCCTTAACACCCCAATGGACAAATCTCAATGTAGCAAACACCGAACTCTCCATATTAAAAAAAAAAGACACTCCGCCTTCAATCTATAAACAAGAATATTTCCACATGATACAAAACATAAAATGCGAAAAAATATACACGGATGCATCCAAAAGCCAAATCGGGGTCGGGGCTGCAGTTGTTTGGAATAACATGGAATTCATGTACAAACTCCCTAGCTCCTGCTCAATCTTCACAGCTGAAGCATTCGCAATAATCAAAGCCCTCGATTTAATAACCGATCGCCATCTCCAAGACACCATCATCTTTACTGACTCCCTCAGCGCCATCAATAACATTAATAATACTAATAACCCATCAGACATCGGCCTTCATATTCAAAACAAAATATACACTCTACAGAAAATCAATAACTTCAAAATCAAACTTTTCTGGATCCCTGGACACTCCAACATCATTGAAAACGAGCGCGCCGACCTAGCTGCCAAAACGGCAATCACCTCTACACTATCGTCTCCCGCTAATATCATCGCATACAGGGACATACAAGCACTGATAACTAACAAATGTCATTTAAGATGGCATCAGAAATGGTTATCCTACTCCACTAAGCTAAATCAAATAAAACACAACACTGACAATTGGACATTTCCCATCGATACACCTAGAAAATTCGAAGTCATCATAACGAGACTGAGAATTGGCCACTCGCAAATATCACACAGTTTTTTAATGGCCAAGGAAGACCCTCCAACATGCGCAACATGCGGCGTCCAAATTACAATTAAACACATACTCACCGAATGCCGCACATACCTCAACATCCGATCAAGCCTCAACATGCCCGAACCTCTTTCCGAAATACTTCAAAATCATCCCAAGGCCATAACAGGAATCATCCAATTCATCACAGCAGCAAACCTTCAATTCAAAATCTAAAATTAAGTTCTCTCTTATACGTATCTATTATCCATATTGTTAACATTTAGTTTAAGTTAAAAATATTATGTAAGCCCAATGGCCTATGCTGCCGAGGGATCTTTTTAAATAAAAAAAAAAAAAAAAATAACGGTTTTAGTTATTTTATTGCATGTAGGAGGTACCTACCTAATATAAAAATATCACTCATGGGTACTTGTACTTTAAACTTTTAACGTAGGTATATTATTACATCCCAACAAAAACACTTCGTCGAACTCCGTGTAAAAAATTGCTAAGTAAAAAAAAGTTAACTTAAATTTAAAAAAAAACTAGTAATTTATAATACTTAAACATTATAAAGATGTGATATCAAGAATAAATTCAATTTTAAATTAATTGATTATATCTCAACCATTTATTTACGTTGCGAGAATTTATTTTCTTTATAAATTAATTAATTAAGACTTTTTTTATAATTAAATTTAGTAACATTTGTCATGGAAATTTGTTAAATAGTCCAGTTATGAATAGACATGTTTATTTGTCGAAATATATAAATGCTCGCAAAGTAAATAAATGATTGAGATATAATCAATTAATTTAAAATTGAATTTACTTAGCATTTATTCTTGATATCCCATCTTTATAATGTTTAAGTATTATAAATTACTAGTTTTTTTTAAATTTAAGTTAACTTTTTTTTACTTAGCAATTTTTTACACGGAGTTCGACGAAGTGTTTTTGTTAGGATATCAGTAGTTTTTTATAACATATTTTTATGTACTGGCATGTAATATGTAATGTTTTATATTTTTATTCATTTATTTTATTGTTATGTTTTTTTATTTAATATACTCTATTTTTTTTTTTCCATTATTATAATATATACATTTTTACCCCCTCGAGGCCATCGTTCAAAATGTATTGCAGTGTCATTACATCGTAGCCATTTATTTTGATGTGAAATTATGCTTGGATAATGGGCTTCATTCATAGATGGACCATGATGGCAGATGACAGAGTTTAAACCATACGATTTACCATCAACTTTAATTATTGTAGTCTGTAGTGGGTAATGCATTAATGGTAAGGTTTGATATTTTGGTATTGACATTACTCCAAAGTTGTATTTGAAAGTACAAATATTCATTAGTATTTACTATATTTGTTATCTGTGTATGATCTGTAATAGTATTACAGGCACTGCAATTAACGCCTTCTATTAACACTTCTCTGAATAAATAATCTAGCATTGTATTTAAAGTTACTGTTTCATTTTCATTAGGTACGTTAAGTTGAATAATATAGTTTTGAGTTATTTGTATTCTTTTATTATGGCACGCAGAACAAACTAATTGTATCTGTAATTTATTAGATAGCGCATTTTTTAGTGGATCGTAAATGTTTATAAGAGCACTAATAAATTCAGCAGCGTCCTGTTGTTCTTCATTAATAAAAGGGTGCCCAAGCTGTCTTCTAATACTTGAAGCACTTAAAATATTTTCTTGTGAAACGTAAGACAATGCAAGATTTTTCAGAACAGAATGTTCCGAAGAGTTAATTAGGTTATTTAATATATGTGTACAGTTGAATATGGCATGTAAAGAAGAATTTGCATAGCATGATATATTATTTGAATTGGAAAAGCCTGGTATAGTATGATGAGGAATATCTTGATAAGAAGTTGAAGGTATTTGGGCATTATTAGCACGGATATTTGATGAATCTGTCCATATTAAATTTTTAATGTGTCTATTTTTTGTGGATAAAAGAGGTATCTTACCTAAATCTGGTCTATACTTCTCTCTAAATCTATTATACTCTTTAATTGCCACTACTTGCGCTTTTATATTCTTAGGGTCAAAATTTATAACATGGAGGCCTTTTAAACTACACACTCTGGATAGTGCTACGTATGTTTGCCCACATGAAAAAATGGAATTACCTACATCTATGATGCAGTTATCTAGAGACATACCCTGGCTTTTATGAATTGTTATTCCATAAGCCACTGTTATAAGGAATTGTTTTCTATAAACATATGCCCCGTGAAACACTTCGAATTTACCAGTAATGCGTTCAAGATAATATCATTTGTTATTAAATACTACTTGAATTTTTTCAGTTTTCCCGTCCATTCCATCAATTACATTTACAATCGTTCCTATTGCACCGTTAACCAAACCATTTGTTACATCAATGTTTCTTTGTAACATTATTCTACAATTTAGTTTAACATTAATATATTTCTCCAAACCAGCTGTTCTCGAACTATCATCATCAAGCTTTGAAAGTTTTTTTACGACCTTACTTTTTGTTGTTTCTTTACAATCAACAGAATCAACTGCTATCAAGCATATATTTTCTGAAGGTAACAATGATAGTATACCGTTGTTTAAAATAGAACAGTAATTTCTTGTTGGAAGTAAAACAAGTGTAGATTCAGGTAATTGTATTATAAGATGATATAATTGTTTTATAATATCACTTTTATCATTAATTTTAAACTTAATTTTTCGTTCATTTATTGTTGTTATGTCAGATTGGCTTATATTGTTTATTCGAATTCTCTCTAATATGTTTGCGTACCTATATAGAATCATTTTTTTGTCTCATATTCTCCGTCAATTCATCATATGTAAACAATTTTTCCCACAAATTTATAGTTCCTAAATTATATAAATTTATCATAACATAATATAGGTACTTACTACATACTTTGTAATAATGACAGGCCGCCTTCGCTCTTTGTTTTTGTTAATTTTATTATTTTTAAAAATGTAATTCAAATAGTTATTAAATTTAATAATATTGTGATAAGTAATAATATTTTTTAATCGAAGCTCTACTGTTAAGACTACTAACAGCTTCGAATTATTATTGTTAAATTGTACAAATAATATTTTAAAAATTTAAATAAATTATGTAACTTATACATATTACTAAATACTAAATAGTAAATAGGTTGTAGTTAATTGGTTAAAGTTAATAATCTATATAACAAAATAAATATAAAATAAGTTTTCAAGATAAAATAATTCAAACATAATATTATAGTCTTATAGTCCTATATTTTAATATTACCCCTGATAAATGTAGTAAATGCAACTTAATATTACCATTTACCATTGACTAAGTTAACAGTCTTCAATGATATTACTGGTATCAATCAATTTCTTATCAGTGGTATCCCTACGTCGGAGCTATCTTCACGTTCACATACACTATCATAATATTTTATACTAATAACTAATAAGAGTGAATAAGACATAAGTATAAAATATAAATGTATAATATTCAAATTTTTAAACATGTGACATGTGTGATGTGAAGGTGTGAAACAGTGAAACATTTGCTCGATTAGATACTCTGTTCACGGTTGGTTGTAAATATTTAATACTAAATTATTATTAAATTTCACTGTGAATGGATCCGATTTTATTCAAAACTTAAATTAACATAAAATTAAGTTCTTTAGGTACCTAATTTCTAATCAAACGAGTTAAAAATTCCATTAACAAAAAAATAACAATGTATTTATAAACCTAATACTTAAATAATATGTTTCTCCTAATACTGTGTAGTTTAGTATTTAGTTAATAATAAGGATTTATAATTATTAATTTCAGATGATTGTGTTCAACCGTTTTTTACGACAGTTAATTAATATTAAGCCTTTAAGATCAAATTACAATCAGCAATGTTGTAGAAATGCAAGATGTATGTCTACAATCAAAGATTTTCGAAAAAGAACTGAGACATTTTCATTTAATGCTGAGCAGAATACTGATGCTGATGCTGATGTTTTTGGTACTTTAACTGATAATACTGAAATTAATCATAAATTGGATCGTTTACCTCCAGAAGATGATGATAAAATAGAATACGATAAAGATGAAAAACACAAACGATTACATATTACTGAGTACCACAAAATTATCCAAGAACTCATTAAACAGCATAAAGTATAAAATTAAAAAAAAATAATATTTCTTCAATATTACCACTATGTTTTTTTTAGATTGCAGATGCGATAGATGTACTTGAAACGAGGATGTTAAAAGATGAAAAAGCAAAACCAGATTATTATATATATAACTTGTTAATCGGTACTTGTGGTAAAGTCGGTTATGTTCAAAAAGCTTTTCATTTATTTAACCAGGTTTGTTTTATTTGTAATTTGGTACCTATCCCTAAGATTATTTAATAAATACAATATTTAATTTTTGTTTAAATAATTAGATGAAAAAAAGTGGGATTAAGACTACACCGGCTACATATACTTGTTTATTTAATGCATGTGCTAATTCGCCATATAAGGATGATGCATTAAAGAGAGCTAAAAAATTACACAATTTGATGAGTTTAAAATCAATTGAACCTAACATTTTTAACTACCATGCAATGATTAAAGGTATGTATTTAAAACTACCTACATATTTATGAGGAACAAAAATCAATTTAATATTTTTATTTAAATATGCTGAAATTAAACTGAAATTTTAAGAAGTAAATTTGTTAAAACTGCGCTAAAAATTGTTGTATTTACTATTTATATTTATTATTAGCTTTTGGAAGAACAGGAGATTTGTTGACTGCATTTTCTTTGGTTGATGAAATGTTGACGAAAAAATATAAATTAAAAGATGAAACATTTAATTTTCTCTTACAAGCTTGTATATCAGATAAAGAAGCTGGTTTTCGTCATGCTTTACTTGTAAGTTTGAATAAATATATGCATTACTCTAATATTTTCAGTCGTGAAATGTCAAGTTGACATAAGTTAATAACTACACCTTTTAGTTGAGTCATGATAACTAAAAATAACTTTTAACTAAATTATACTTGGGTCCTATAAAATATTTGATCAATCTTTTTAAGAGTCTTATGGTCCTTCTAAAGTGCTCAGTGTTGTTCACGCTTTGACGTCTTCTAAATTCTGGTCCATTCTACATAGGTGGAGAAAGTATTAACTGATCACCAAAAATTAAATATATAGGTGTTCCCTAGCTCAAATAATTACTTGGAACCACTAGTTAACTTCAATCTTGACTTCAACATTGTTACTAAAGTCTCAAGATCCTGTTGGTATGGTTCAAGTACTAAATTAAATTAGAAATGTTTATAAACAGTATCTTTGTCCTCTCATACTTATTTATCATCATTATGACTTAAGTATTCTGAGCTGCCTTGGTCTTGTATTAACATTGCATTCTAAAATCTTACATATAATATTTAATAGGCCATGATTAATCAGAAATACAGCACTTTTATTATTCCATTTTTCTTATATTTTCTTATAATTACAACTAATTACCTAGGTATATTTTATTATTTCTAATAAATGTTAAAATCAATTTATAACTTAAATTAAATGACAAAATGTACCATATATTTTGGTGATTTTCAGGTTTGGAGAAAAATGATATTAAAACGTGTGCGTCCTTCACTTTATACTTACAATCTTTTATTAAAATGCACAAGAGAATGTAGTCTTGGTGATGAATTTGAAACACGGAAAGTTATTGGTCAAATAATTGATGATCCTCATTTACTAATTACTGAATCCAAACTTGAAGAAATTAATACTTCAGAAAAGGATATACCTAATACATTATTATGTAATGATAATGAAAATAAACTATCACTTATTGAGGAGAATAGACCAAATCTATTGGATGTTAAACCTAATTTTGGTAACATTGTGGGTATATCTGAAATTAAATCCCCTGAAGAAAGGTAAACATACTCATAAATCTGTTCTGCATTAGTGCTCAATTGTTTTTTTTTTTTTAGATTAATATTATTAGGTGGTTGTTCAGGATTTTTAAAAAATATGAAAATCAACAAAATAAAGCCAGAAATTAAAATATTCACTCAACTTTTAGAAATTATACCGCCAACATTATCAGCTGAAAAAGTGAGTTACTTATGTTTAGAAATAAATTTAAATTGAGTTATTTGTATTTTATCAGATGTGTTTATAATTCATTAAAACCTTACAAAAAAAATAAAACAAAGTTATTACCAAATTTTCATGTATTAAGTGTATTTTCTAATTATTATTTTAGACCAAACTTGGACAAAAACATAACATAATTATTAATTTATGATATTTTTTAGCTCTTATTAAAAGAAATTTATAAAAACAAAGTCGGAGTTGACATTGATTTTTGCAATATTCTCATTAAAAAACGAAGTCTTAGATTTGATTATGAAGAAGCAAAGGTTATTTAAAATCATTCATACAATATACATTTTATATAAATTACTGTAATTTTACTTTTCATTTATAGAATGTATTAATCTTAATTAACTCAGAAAACTTGAGTGTGGATGTTGTAACATTTGGTGTTCTGGCATTGGGATGTAAAAATAAGAACGAAGCTAAAGACCTCATAAAAATGATAGCAGATCATGGATTTCGGTATGTTTGTAAAATACTTATGTTATTTTTATTCTTACTTGTGTTTTTTTATCTAATTTAAGAGTAAATGCAGAAGTGTTGGGCACTATGTTAGCACAAGCATGCTACCATTTCAATTTTGCCTATGTAATTTATGTCATGAACATGGTCAAACACGAAGAAATTAAACCCAATAGAAAATTTATGGATCGTTTAAATCGTTTTGATACCACAATCAAAGATTTAATGAAAAAAAGAGTAAGTGTAAGCAATTATTAAAAATGTAAAAATAATCTATTAAGCATTTAATGATGAATTGATTGTTTTCTTTTGCAGTAAAATCTATATATTTTTTAACCAATGTTTTAATAGCATAACTACTTTTAAGCTTTTAAGATAATAGAAAATATTAACTTCAAAATTAACCACAAATATTTTGAATAAAATCTTTAACATATTATATTATGTTCTTTTAAATATACCTTAATGGTCCCTAAATATCATGAAAATTATACTATTATAATACTATACTAACTGCTTTTTTTAATAACAAAATTATACAGTATGAATTCAAATTATGTTTTTTTAACTTAATAATCATCACAAATAGAATTTAAGTTTAAATTCAATTTTTGTATTTTATTTACTAAACATATTAGAACCAATTCAAAAATATTAGGATTTCTGATCACATTACAAGCTTAATGTAAACATGCAATATATTAACTATTAGTATTATTTTCAGCAAAATAGAGAAAAAGAGACTCCAGATTTTATTCAAAGTTATTATTTCAAAGAAGGATACAGAAAGTTTCAAAATTTTTATAAAAAATGGTCGTTAGAAGTAACAGTTGATGAAGAACTGCATCCTTGGGATCAATTTAAAAATCATAGAAAATAAAATATTATTTCAATTTGTATTTAACAATAAATTAATATTATTTATTATTTAAATATATTTTTTTGGTATTTAATTGACATACATTATCACTATCATTGATCACTAATATAAAATATTATAATTAATATGGCCTCTTTATTAAAATCTGTATGGATTTATATACTGTAAACATTTCAAATTTTACTAAATATTTTAATTTTGAATAGAACTTGGAATTTGTTCTAGAGGGTAATATGTATGTATAACATTGTTTTCATACAATTTCACTACTCTTAGTCCGGAAGGATCTTCTCCCAATGGAGCTCCAAGTGCACAAGTAGTAACTATTTCAAGGTTTTTATAGAATCCAGTTGAGTTTCTGTGATAGTGACCAGAGAAAACATGAGACACACCTAAAAACAATATATACATCATCAACAATTGATTTGAAAATTAATTTGCCGATAATGCAAATTACTTTTATTCTCAAAACTTATTACACTGATTAAAATAGAATATTTAAGTATATTTATTAATCTTTACCAGCTGCACACAGTTTTTCAAGCATTTCATGTCTGATGTTTTCTTCAATATTGAAATAGGAAATTTCCTCATCCGGTTTACTTAAAAACCACGGTATGTGTTGAAATACAATTATTCTTTGACCATTGTATTTACTCAATATTTCAGTTAACCATTGATCTTGTTTTGCTGCAAATTTATCGACATCGGATCCGTTTTTATAATATTGGGAGTTTAACACTAAAAACAGTACTCCACCACACCAAAATGAAAAATAATCTTGGCCAAAATGATCACGATATCTAAAATATTGTTGTTCTATAATTATTTATCTACAAATATTAAAGAACTAATTTTGTGTAACTGTAAATTCTAGTATAATAATACTTGTTAACTGAATTTTCGTCTGGGGTATTGCCAATATCATGATTTCCACACACACAAACCAGGGGTATAGAGGGGTGTAAGTTTGAGAAAACCTTCTTAAAATCATTTACTTGTAATTCATTTAACACAGTTTCATCTGAAATATGAATACGTTGATATATAAAAATATCTATGAACCATTAATTAAATTATACTATAATCAATAAACTAAACAAGTTCAACTAACTACAAGGCATTTCATTTACTAAATCGCCACAGACCACTAGAAATTGAGGTCTTGGAGACAAATTATTAATTTTATCTATTGCAAAAATAGCTTTATCCATTTCTATTTTCCAGTCTTTAGAGTCTCGTTCTAGGGGTGGCTTAATATAACCAAATTGAGGGTCAGCCGCAACCACGAAGTAAAAATTTTCAGTCCATTGTTGATTGTTTTTAACTAAAATTTGAAACAAATATTATACAATTATACAAGAGCCAATAGGTAATAGATAATGATAATATAATGCAATACATAGGTAACCATTAACCATATTAATATATTATGTCCATATATGGATATAATCAAGAGACTAATACATTTGAGTATGTACATAACAATATTTTTTACCTGGAGATTGGAGAATGATTAAGTAGGTACATACGTTTAAGTATTGTCTCCCAAAAACGTTTTGTAACTTAAATTTAAAAGTTTGCTGATTATTATGTTTTATAATATACCATGAAATCAATAAAAATAAAAAAATTTAAATATTTTGATAATTATTCATTACCTTTATACCTATACCTTTTAGGATAATATCAGCGCACTATTTGTTTTCTCTCTCTGGCCCACACACAACATAGACAAATCACATTATGCTGAATAATTTTATTATATTTTTAAGTAATCTTAGAGTAAAATCACCTATTACAAAAAATATAGAGAATAATATTTTTGAGGGAATGGCATATCAATTTGTCTAAATATTGTCTCAAAACTATTTAAACATAATTTAAATTTACAACAATTTTTTATTTATTTTGAAAGTCAAATACAAAGTCAAATAACAATAAAATATAAAATCGATATGTCATTCACTCAAAAATATTATTCTCTATCTTTTTTGTTATGGGTGATTTTACTCTAAGGTAACTTAAAAATATAGAAAAAATGATTCTGCGTTAATGCGTTTTGTGGGCCGGAGAGACAGAACAAATAGTGCACTGACATCCTCTTAACCTACCTATACTGTACTATATTATTATATCTATAAAAATTTAGAATCCTCGTTTTCGTCTTTAGCTTTTTTGAAATTTAAGTCAAAAACAGTACCTACTCAGTAGACTCTATACGACTATACGTGTGGTACGTGTTTTCGTTAATGTATAGCAGTATAGCACCCAAACGTGTTAGATTTTGAATCAATATCAAACGTGCACCACCCTATACCCTAGATACCCAACACATATTATACCTTGCTTATCAACCAATAAAATTGCTTTATTATCATCAGTGCAATGTAAAATCACAAAACCAGGATGTATTGATACACCTGTTGTATCAATACACCTTGCATATTATGTCAGATTCTCAAAACTATGGAAGTTATAGACTGGACATAATAATACCTACCTGATATTAAAAATATTTACTCTATATTTACCTTATATTTATTAAGTAATAAGTTGTTGTCGATAATTATTAAAAATAAAAAAATGTTAAATATTTTATTCATTTCAGCAGGATGTATTTACTATGTAGTATTAGGTACATGGTCATATTATGATAAGTAGGTATACGAATTATCTATATTTTTTTTTATTGTGAAAACAATATAAATTTAATTTTTATAAGATTTTTTTATTGCCCCCCCCCCCTGGAAATCCTGGCTACACCACTGTCACATCACAAGTATATGTATCTCGTAACTCGTAAGTATAACTCACTCAGCTGCGTTTACTTCAGGATATTACCTATTCTCAATCATCTAATATAGCTATTATTAAGATATCTTAATTCGTGATAGGTATACAGTAAAAAGGGTACCTATAATAAAATAATACAACAGACTTGTTTTTTCAATAATAATATTTTATTACCGATATCTTAACCATACAAAATTTTGCAGGCAATATATAGTCCATTGTTAACCTTAAACAAATTTAAAAAAAATGTTTAGGTATATCATATGCATAACTCTAAACCCATAAATCATAACATAACCTTTGTCACTATCAAAGTATTTTTAAGTCACACCTATATATTATATATATATATATATTTCAAATAAAACCGATACCGATAAATCCAATACCGGCCGATAACGAGTACCTATATAGGTATCAGTTCTAGTATCGGCCCATCCCTACATAATAATATTATGCTTAATTGCGTTATATTGTGTAGATAGGGACTGCAGTGTATTAGGTACACTTTGTATAACACAAAATTGAATGTCCCAACCACGACTATACGCCAGTCCTAACATCCTTAAACTAGACACTTTAGCAAACTGTAGGCAAGCAGCAAAACTCACCTCTTTGGCCAAATAGTTGCAAGGGAAAATTGACTCACCATACTTACTATCCCAAGTCTCTTTTAATATTCCAGTCCGAACCTCTCGCCATCCTGTTCCTTTTTCACTTGCCACCTCTTCAACTATGGTCAAAATGAACCACTACGTCACTGCATGTATTTACCTACCTAATCTAGACCCTTCCTTCTCACTAAATAGTTTTTAATTTTTCTATGTATAATCTATTCATTGTACTAAATTGTATTATTGTAAATTGGTCGAAAGCTCGTGTTGTATTATAAAATAAAATCGTATTTCCTGAAACGGCCAGCAGTAAATTCAAAAAAAAAATTATAATAGTGATTTTATTTTTAAGTATAAGTTAAAATATCATGAAATATTTTTGAGTAAAAGAACAAGTAAGAATTGAAAACCGTGTCATCACGTGGGAGTAATTATCACTTCTTTATACATAATATACATTAACATTATACCTATGACTATAATATATAGTATACTACCAATATATACCACTTTTTAAAACAAAAACTGAAGTCCCCTGTACCAGGCCCCAGTTTTATTATTACTCCAATTTTCTTTTAGGGAAATTTACATTAATATTGACCTAATTATTGATCGTTTTAGAAAAAGTGACAATATGGAAAGCCGTTTGGATTTTATTATTTAATGTATTATCATTAATTGATTTATTAGATTAAGATTATACTAATATTTGGGAAACAAATTTGTTCCCCTCCCCCAGATCTTTTCTCTGGATCTATGCCTGCTCTTCACTGACCATAATTTTTGTATTATTATTTAATATTTACATATGAATAACTGAATAAGCAAACTCACATAGTCACATCTATACATATAAAATTAACTTTAACTTACATTGATCGTTTCCAATTTTTTCTTCAATCTTGTGCTTATTCCATTTTACGGTTTGTTTAATACTTTCCGTCATTTTCTCTGTAAAAACAGGTATAATAATTATTTATTATATTTGTTTCTAAAATAATTGCTTATTTTAATCATAATAATTATATATATATATATCTATTAGTTATTACTAAAGACCGGATTTACATATCGTTACTACTATTACTGAGTCTATGCAGTCTTATGAGAGTAAAAAATATGGATAGTTCATTCAATTCTGAGTTCGTAGAAATAAGTTTTTTTTTTTGCATATTTGAGAATATTTATATTAATATTCATAGGTTCGGGAATATTTTACCCATTTAGCATATTTTGGGAAATTTTTTAAATTGTGAGAATAAATATTCATTTATTATTAATTTTAATATACGGTGACCGGAAAATTTTTTATTCAACATTTACAATTTTTTTTTATCATTTTGATAAAAAGTAAACACGCAGCTATAATATAATAAAGGCCATGAAAATTAAAATATCAGTTAATTTTAAAAACCAACTAACACAATGAATAGAACCATTCAACAAAAAAGTCATTGAATTAACAGTTGAGACAAAAAAAAAAGTTTAAAAATGGCTTGTTAAAAAAGTATAATATATTGATGTTTATTTTGATTCGTTTTGCATATTTTTGAATATTTTTGCATATTGTTGTAGCATTTTTAAAGTTTTGGTTTTTAAAGATAATTTAAATTTGAAGGGTTGGTAGAGAGTTAGCATCATAGATTAAGGTGTTTTAAGAGAATGTAATCTATATTTATGTAAGTATAGTAGCTGGTATGGACTAGGGGGTCTGGTCGTAGGTATAGGTATATAACCAATTGATATAAATACTAGTATCTTATAGTATTTATTAGTATAACCCTGTAAGAGAAGATTCAAAAGAAATGTTTAAAATTTAAATATAGGTACAGTATATAATTTGTGAATTATTCGAGATAGCAATGTTTCCCGAACCCTCCTCTCCCCCCCTTCTCCTTAACTGCGTCATTGTCATTATTATTAATAAATACATACATTTAAAATACTCAAGAGTTAAGATATTTTGTATTATATGTATTTATGAAGTGGAGTATACCATGGTGACGGTGACGTGGGGGTCAGATCCTCTCCCATTGGCTTTGGAGTGGATATCTTCCATATTGTGTTTGATGTGAATTTTGAATCAATTCAAATTATATTAATTGTTTGTTATTGTTAAATATTTTACTACCAAAATAAAAAGTTTTGAGAAGGTGGGGGATTTTCCAATTTCCCCCTCCCATTTAAGTATGTCGTTTTCTTTTTTTTGATCCCCCTTTCAGAAATTATGTCTACACGCCACTGTATTTATGTATCTGACGTAGATACCTATGTATATTTCAGAATAAAGAAAATTATTGCTACAAATAATTAGCATAGATACGGAGATAACTTACCTACCGGCTAGTGTAAGATAATTATAAATTATAAATACAACATCATAATTGCGAATCAATGTGTGGGTATATGGTATATAACATTATTGATAGATAGATTGGGTTATCGAAAGACTTATTTTTCAAACGCCTTTTTATGATACATAATATATATCAGTAAAAAAAAGTTTATAGCCATAATAAAGATTATACAAAATAGATATTCTTAATTCAATAATACTTTCAAGTTGTTTGATTAATGTTGTACACATTGATACAAATTATAAGTAGGTACTTATACAAAAAATACCTATTTTTAATAAATAAATCTATTATGAACTTAATGTATAGGTACTAATCTAGTTACCTACTGCTTTTAAGATTTACTTTAATTTATTATAATATTTATAAGTATAGACTAAAAATAATATAAATTAATGAATCAGTAGAATATAGATGACTACTAAATATAGATAATAGTATATATGATGGGTACCGTATGTCCGTATGGCATACCTACCTATTTAGTGAAATTGAAAGTTAAAATTGATATTCTTTTTAAGTTAATTTTAAATTTTAATTAACTGCTTCAACATAAAAAATGTTTTACTGAGTTAGATGAAAACTAAAAGTAGGCACCTTGATATTCACCTGACAAAATAAAGAAAACACAAACAATTTAAACGGAAATGTACATACTATTATAAGAACTGGGAAATCAGTATAATACTTCCTTGCTTCCGTTAAGAATTTAAAAAAAAAATAAAGAAGGTACCTTGAATCTTGAGTTACGCTGTTTATAACTATAGATAACAGTAGATCATTTTATTAATACATAGGTAGGTATACAAAATACAAATACATAGGTACAGTAGAACCTCGATAACTCGAACGTCTATAAGTCAAATTTTCGGTAACTCTTGACCCCTGCATTTCTATATGTTGGTACCTAGTAAGTACATACAATTTTTCTAAAAATCAATTTTTTTTTTGTCCCCGACTGATTTGAGTCATCGAGGTTTCACAGTACTTTTAAAAGTGCAAATTATTGGGTATGCTAATAACTAATAAGCTTTCAAAACATATAAAGATAGTATCTACTATTTATTTTGTGATAAATATTTGAATACATTAAGCCACCGAGTAATCATTGTGACAACATAATAGAGTGCAGGACATAAGTAATAAACTACCTATGTAACTATGTAAATAGGTATCTAAATGGCTATATAGTGCTATTATTAAAGTGATACTACAATAAATTAACATATTAGTATGATATTAATTTTATTATTAGTTATTACCTATTGGCTATTACTTATCAGTACCTATATATTCTACTTATTCTCTGGAACAATGAGTAGTGCTTCAAAAATCAAAAGTGTCATCTTTTCTCGAATAGGTACTTACAACAATTTATTAAAAAGTGAATAGGTATTACATTAGGTGCCTACATTACTGATAGACTATTTAGAACGAATTCAAGCTGTTTTATTTATTAAACTCATATATTAATATATTATTATAGATACCTAATTATAAGTAATAACTAATAACCATCTAGTTATCAATAATGTGCTCAATAAGAATATTTGAACAATGATTATATTTTAACAGACGCGATTAGCTTTATTAAAAAAACATCAGTGGTATTTACTATTCACTATACTTGAATACTATATTGAATACTTGTCAGTGGCGTAACTAGGATTTTAGGGACCCATGGCATGAAATCTCCTGGGGCCACTAAAATGTTTTAAATAAACAAAACTACAAGAGATACCTAACTTTTTGTTCAAATTATAAGTAACTAAACCAGCGGCGTAGCCAAGGGAGGGTAGTTTAAACACCCCCCATTGACATTTCCCCCCATAATAAATATATTGCTTATATAGGGTTCGGGACTGCTTCCATGTTTATTGTATAGTGGTCGTAGATTATTTTAGATAGTTATAAATTTGTCTTATGAAATTTTTTTATATGTTTTATCAAACAAAGTTTGAATTTTCATATTTTAAGAAAAGTGTACATTTGAGTGATTTTTTGCATATTTGTACATATTTTGCATTTTTTTAACTTAAATGTACATACAATTGTGGGGAAAAATCATATTTGGATAACATTGCAAAATATCTTTAAAAATATTTTGTTTGGTTAGGTACTAGGTACAATAGGCGCTAATTTTGAGATTTGGGGAGGCCGAAGCCTAAAACCGGCCATATTATGATAAAATTGAATAAGCTTAAAAAAAATTAGTAAATGTTTAGGAGGGCTGTTAAAGTTGTTGGTGGAGCTTGGCTAAAGTTGGCCCCATTTCCGCATATGGTACTTAGGATTTTATAAGTCTCTTTGTGACAAGACTGTGTTAAAACTATAATTGACATCTAGATTCTAGATTGTAAGAAGAAATGAAAATCAGTAGATAAGTGTTCGTTTATCACAGTGTTTGCATATCACGTTATTCGTTATTACTTATTTATTAACCTAGTATTTTATACCAGTATTTTTAAAAATCAAGTTGTTTTATTTCACAATAGTTTAAAAGTGTCCAAAACATGCAATAGTGTCCTCCATCCATATTAATCAATATAGGTAGCTACCTATATTAAAATTAGTAAACCCGTATATAAATTATTTTTATCATGTTTATATACCGACTTATATTTTAGTTTTTTATAGCCAAAATTTTAATATGTTTTATGAATTTTTCAAAAATAATATAAAAATGTAGCTGCATATATTTAAGCATATTTTGACAATTTTTACTGCATATTTCGATAATTTTTAGTGCAACAAGTCAAGTCCCGAACCCTAAAATTATTTATTTACGAAAAATTTAAAAACTCGGTTTTAATCTATACTTAAACACTCCCCATTTTATAACCCTGCATGCCTGATCTAAACGTTTCAAGGTCTCAAGGAACATATTAACATAGATATTTATAAAAATAAAATATTTGATATTAATTTTATTCTTATTTTAATTGTGCAAACCAATCAATCAATTCATCACATTTTTTACTTTAACATATTTTTCCATTACTATAATATCAGGTAATATCACTAAACTATGGAACATTGGGAAAAAAAACTGTCCCACCCTTATATTTAAGAAATCGTTTAAAAATATGAAATGATAAATTAATACAAAATATCAATATTATAGGTACCTAAGTACCTATACCTACCTACATGTTTTATCTCGTCCATTTAAATTTTGAGGTAGAGGGCCCCGGTCCCCGGTCCCCTAGCATTGAGCCTTCTAGGCGACTCTATCATTACGCCACTGTCGCAACTGATAAGTGTGTTGTTATGAATTAAAATCATGAATTACCATATTATTATATATCTTTATCGTCTATGGTGTTTATTAAAATCCCCATCATCCGTCGACAATATGATAATACACATCAATAATAATCGGCAATCCCTATAAGAGAACGCTGAAGTGGTGGTTTTTGAGGGGAGAGCGAATGTCCACTCCCCTTGAGACTTGGTTAATTCCTTTTTTTAGTTTTATGTTTTAATAATATAAAACCGTCTCCATTTAACATTTTATAGAGTTTTTAGCTGAACTAGAGTAACAATGGAAGTTTTGGCAATATTGCTGGTAGTACCTACTACCTACGTATAAAACGTATATTATTTAAAATGTTATATAATACGGCATCTTATTAGTATTGCAGAAACACGCTCACCTGCTCAAGCTCAAATGTTGGTACATATTATATTATGTACATTGTACCTATATATATACTATAGTGTACCCATACATTATTCATTATAAATTAACAAATAACAATTATAATAGATGAAAACATGATAGTTACATTGCAAATTCTTATGTTTGTAAATAAATAAACGTTTCTCAAAATGATGTACATAACATGAATATTTCAAAGTTATAACAGTAATATAATACATTATCCATTATTGGTGCAAGGTGAAATACAATATAGGTACTATAGGTATGTACTATGTATAGGTAGTAGGTACTATATAGTAATGTTGCCTCCCACGTCACAACACAGAAAAATAAATTGCTGAGTTATATCGTAAATCTCATTGCACAGAGTGTTGGTACTAAGTGTCTAAGTCCATCCCCCTCCATGAAATTTTGTCAAAGTCATCAGCGTATACCTAACCAGAATTGGTTAGGGGTGCTAAGCCCTCTCTCATTGAGCCATGGCGTTTAAAGTTTAAACCTAGTCCTTGAGAAAAAAAATATAATCACATTATTATGCATTCAATGCGTACCTATACATTTATAAATTTATAATATACCTAATAACTAATAATTATATGATTTACATGGGTTCATTTATATAAATATTTTCGTATTAGAAATATGGTTATTTGTTATTCCAGTTTTCACAGAAATCGACAATTAAAAATATTATTGTTTCTTTTTCATACCGAACTAAAAACTAAGTTTTTTGTACCAACCCGTGAGAGACTACCTACTAAAACCTAGTTAAGGTTAGGCCCATAAAGGTGTGGTGGCAACATCCTGTACATAGGCGTAGTGTGATGAATTTATATAGGGGAGCTATAAGCTATAGCCTATTAGTTTCTGGTACTCAGCATAATATATTCTAAAAATGTAACTAAAAAAAATTAACAGGATGCGGGGCTAAGCAATAGGCTATATCCTCCTTACCCCCCTCCCATTTTATGCCTATATGATCCTGCATAGCTTATTCTGACCATTGATTTAATAGGATTCTTGCCCCAGTAAGCAGTTATTCTTATTACTAAATCCTAGTTAAATACCTAAGACTTAAAGCTATTACGAGTATGTAAGTACGTTCATCTATTAATTATTATGATCACTTGTACAATTAAATATAAATATTATATAATTATGTATTCATGTGATAGTCTACGCAAGACACGATCGTAAATTTTTCTTTTATTTTCTTGGGGTTTATTTTAGATTCTGAGTGGAACGATGAATGTATTGATTTTACAATGATGTATGTTATTTTATTTTTTATTTTTTTATTTTTTTTGTGTCTGTGTACACGATAAGTAGTCGAAATAATGCTTCGATTTTCGACTTCAGTATCTTGTTCGATTGGAACGTGAATATCGTTGGTGCATTGGGGAGGTTAAAATTCCCAGTACTTTTCAAAATAAAGGAAAAACGGGCATTTTTACTCAAAATCGATTTTTCAGAAAATTGAATTTGGTTTTTGGTGTAACTTTAATACATGAAATTTTCACAGGTTGTTTATATTTGCATTTTCTATACACAATAACATTTTCAAAATATTTTGATTTTTGATTTATTTTGAACTGTTTAGGGACATTTTCATTTTATTTTAGATTTCTCTAGAAATATCAATAAAATTGTATTAGTTGATTAAAAAAACTTGAAAATTTAATAGAAGGCTCTTAGTAGGTATATTGTTTCAAAGGCAGATGAAAAATATTAAAAATCGTTAGTCACAGTTTTTTTTTATAAGCATTTAAAGTTCAAAAATTGACAAAATATGGAAAAATCACGAAAATTAGCAAATTATTTTGAGTTAAGAATTCGTAAAAATTTTTCTTTTTAAATCTAAGATTTGAAAATGTAATACAAGATTACTCATAAGTTTGTCTACCTTTATTAATAAAAAAATCTCTACCGGAAAGTCAAATTAAATTTTTATGAGCGTTTGAAATTCAAATTTTTACAACATTGGATATTCACTCGATTTCTCGTGTAGCGATTTCCTCTAATTTTGTTGTAGTTCAAAAACTAATAACTGTAGATACATGAAAATTTCACTGAATGTTCGTATTAGCATTTCCTATACACTGTACAATTTTGAAAATATTTTGACTCTTTTTGAGCTGTTTACGGACATTTTTAGTTTTCAATTTTTTTAGTTTTTTATTCTATAAATATCAATAAAGTTTTATCTGTTGGGCCAAAAAGTGTAAAAATTTAATACAAGGCTCCTGATATATTGTTACAATAGCAATTGAATAATATAAAAAATACATAGGCACAATTTTTTTTATAAGCATTTAAAGATCGAATTTTGACAAAATTTATCAAAATCTCGAAAATTATCAATCATTGTAATTAATAAATTATAAAATGTTAAATGTTCAGTTTTTATAGCTAAGGATTGAAAATTTAAAACAAAGGTTCTCATAAATAGTTCATACTATAACCAAACAATCCAAAAAATATATTAACACAGTTATTTTTTACAGACATTTTAAATTCAAATTTGGACGAAATTACATATTAAAAAACCTAGAATAACTATTTTAGTTTTTTTGTTGTGTTTGAATAATATTATTCGTGGGTACTTGAAACTTCTAAAGTGTATTATTATATAATATCTACGATAGTATCACGGTTTTTGTTGATGTATAACCCGTTATAAGTACATAATGGATATTGTGATATGATTAATTTGGAATTTATTATAGGTCAATTTTTTGTTTAATACCATAGATTTGTACATAATATGTCTTATACCTAGACTGACAATACTGTCTCCGCTCAGAACCGTTTTTCTTATACAATGATAATATATCGTTGAATTCAAATTTAATATCATCCATTATACAGTGATCCACTTGTAACCTACTGTACAGCAGAGCGACACCCACTTGCCCACCTTTTTTTTATAATATATAAATATTATGAATTTTTGATTCAATTTATTTAAAATAAATAATAATGCCTGTAATCCGCATCTATAAGAATTTAAGAATTATGTTAAAGCTCGCTGCTTCGACCCGCAAAATGTCAGTTGTCACTACCTCTAACCGGCTAGAAATCTGGAGTATATTTAATATTTTATATTTAACAATTTAACGTAGGTACGTTTTTTAATACTGCGAGTAAATTAGTTTATGATTAAAAGTTTTGGCACGCATTTGGCAGGTTTCCAATATCAAAATATAAAAGAAAATACCATCGAGGCCTCGAAATCATTACTATTACAATTTACAAATTTAATCCATAGTTAATATAAGATAAATCCGTTTATTGTATTAACATTTACTATTTACATTACCATAGGTGCTAATTGCCTTGGTTGATCAATATATTTTAATTTTTTAGTCTTCAGATACATTATAAATTATAATCGTTTGAGTGTTAATTAATTGTGTCAACTTTCAATATTGTTCAGTGTTCGGTGATATTTTCATTCACAGACGCGGAATAAAATAATATAACTTGACAATTCTGTACTATATAGAAATAGGTGGCGTGGAACGGTTTGTACGGAAAACACGAATTGTCAAATTTTGTCCTTGGTGATAATAATATTATTAACCCGCTAAGATAACAGCAGAGCTTAACAGCCTGCGGATTGCGGATAACAAATTAACAACACAGGCCAACAGTCACGTGATTCGTTGCCTACTCGTGCAATGCTTCAAAGTGCAAAATGCATCATGATAAAGAAAATCCATGATTCCATGATAGTCAGATAGTGGTACTACTGGTTAGTATTTAAATATTTAAAAATTTGATATTATATAATTTTGAAAAAAAAAAAGAATTGAATCCGTAAAATTGTTGTTTACGAATACTGAGTAGTTTATTTTGATAAATATAGTTTGAAATAATATTAATTTGCTTACTGAAATGAATGATTCATGCACATTTACCTCGATGGATGCGACCAGTCTCGTGGAATTCGTTGGAAAAACTGTTGTCGTGCGTACAAAACAGCAACACGCATCCAAAGGCGTCGTTCACACTGTGGATCCGGTGACAAAAAGGTATGGTTGACGGTTGTACCGTGGGCGTGTACACATGACATTAATAATATGATGTAGATAATTTTTTTTTATTTATAGAATATTTAACTGTTTCCTCTTTTCCACCTTCTGAAACATTATTCTTGACCAAAATACTAATGGCTATTGCCCGTGCTTGTTAATGTTGGATTCTAACTTCTGAACTAAGCGGGAGGAATTTATTGGGATTTGTTTAATGGTTATTGCCTTATCGGTCTTACATTAATATAATTTATTCAATATTACTGAGGTACTGTGTGTTAAATGTTTGCTAACATTATTTAATCAGTTTATCTACATATTGTAGGATAAATAATTTATAATAATTACTGTCTACTGTAATTTAATTGGAAATTGAATACTATATGTTCATTAAGGAATTATTTTAAATACCTATATTATAATTCATATACTCAAACATAATATTATGTTTTTAAACATTTTTGTTTTATAAATGATTACATTTTTATAATTTTATAAAACAAGTTATTTGCTTAAGCTACAAATATAGGTAAACTATAAACATTTTATTGAAATTGTGTATAGGTATTTTAATTTTAAAGCAAGTTATAATCATTTTAAAATAGTACCTAAGTTGTTTTTTATAACTCTCTTTAAATATTAAATATAAATAAAACCTATCGACTATATAGATAATATTCTTACTTCTAAAATTGGTAATAGGTCAATTCACTCTAAAACTAAATATAACAGAGTTAAATTAATTATTCAGAATATATAATTTGCTATCATACGTTTGATAGACGGAAACAACTAGACTAGTAGACAACACATTCGGATATGGGGTCCTCTTTAAGCTATTGTCAATGATAAAAAATGTATAAATATATTTCAAACATTAATTGAATAATAATATAACCATTGGCATAATATTATTATTTTTTTTATTGTTACGTAATATTATATTATTGTATAATCTAAATCCTAGGCTCTAAATCAGCAAGTAGATGGCTATGCTAATGTTTTTCATTTTTACTGATGTGTTATATTGTTTTAAAATAGACCTATGCTCGTTTTTAAAAATTTAATTTTTAGATGATATACTGTAAAATGGTAAATATATTATTAAAATTGGCAATATTTTTTATGTACAAAGAACATTTTTAAATAGACCCTGAGTACAAACCAGGATCACATGAAACTATGGTAATCTGGTTACACACTATCTAACACTTGGGTTACGTCAAGGAAGACTAATATTCACTGTCTTTGTCAGAAACTTTAAAGTAGTTTTTTAAGTGGATTATGAAGAAAAAAATTGAAATTCATATATGACATTTAGATGGTCATATTTAACATATTGTAGGTCAAAGATAAAATTAATAATTAAACTCGTTATTATTTTATATCCATTAAGACTTATAAGTTATAAAGTACAAATCCCTGTATTTCATGGCTGGTTTTTAAATATCAATAGACAATAATAATTATACTTATAGAACAAACTTTATAAGACTAATTTACAATTAAGTATTTATCTACCTATTTTCAACCTCATATATTGTTATATACCTATTAGTGTATTATACAACTGCATATTTTAATATTCTATTATTATCATACTCAATGTACTTGTAATTTATATTATATTAATTATATAAAACATTATTGTTTCAGTATCGTATTGCTAATCAACAAACAGTGTGAGATATTTTCTGGAATAAACATCAAAAGTGTTCAATTTGAAGATTTGTAAATTTCAAATGGATTTTTAAAAACTAATCTCTTATTTTGCCATTTATATTTATTATTAGACTTCAATATTTGTATTATTTTAACTATTAATTATAATTTATAATGAATGATGTAATGCATATTTATATTTTATGTACAATATAAAATATAGGTAACTAGTGTGATATAAAATAATATTTTATTTATTTTTTAAATTGTAATATACATTGTCAATATCTAGTTGAACCTATCTTTTTATAAAGTTACTTATCATTATTTATATTTGGTCCGGGTACTTGGATACTTGAGTACTGGACCCCTCACTTAAATTAAGCAGCCTTCAACTTACTATAAAACGTCTTGAGTAGACTTAAGCTTCCCAATATCCAGAGTTGAGCAAGATACTAAAAGATAATAGTATCTTGTATCTTTTGGCAAAATAAGACACATGATACTAATTACTAGTATAAAATGTTTCATGATACTTGATAGTTTAAAATTATGTATCACGATACAAGATACAATTGTATCTTTGATACTGCCCAACCCTGCCAATATCTGACTATGCTGACCAGTGACTACTATGTTCTTAATTACTCATAGTTGATGGTACCAAAAATAAAAACTTTTAACATACCGCTATTTCAATTATGACCAAACAGAGAAAAATAAAATTTAATTTATCATAAAAATAATCAGTGTAATTGTAATTTTATCTATTAATGGAAGTACAGTTAATGTTTCCTCAACTAAAATTTGTATTTCATTATTAAAATACAGATTATCTTGATAATTAATTTTATATAATATGTGAATTGTGAGAGTATATAACTTAATTTTCTTTCATTTAGTTTATTAGCTATACATACATTTATTGAGATGGTTTTGATTTCAGTGAAGTATATAGGATTTCATTTCGGAGGTTAGAAATCTCTGAGTCCCGACAGTATAATAGTGATAATAGTTCTATTTACACATATTTACTTTTATTTTTGGGGGGTTCAACTCCTAACCCTCCCTATAATAATATATGTTACTGTTTATTTATTACTTTTTAAATTTATAAAAAATATTAGTTAGATTTCTGATGCATACTACATATCATTTAAATTTTTGTTTTAGTTAATTTCAAAAAAAGTAAAAAAACTTCTATATTATGATTGTGTATAATGATTAATGGTATTCTATAATATAGGTCATTGGATAACATAGAACATGTTAAAATTATCTATGTTTCACTTTGTTTGATAATATGAGGTGCAGGAAGTTAACTAAACAATCATGAGTAAATATTATTATATAAAAATAAAATGTACATAAAAACAATACTACATGCAATATTTAGAATCAAATAAAACGTATAATAATTATGTTTAACTGGTAATTTATTATAATAAACAATATACTATAGGTGTTGTTTATCTTAAAACTTCTAAACAATTATTTATAAAACATAAAACATTTATTAAATCCCGTTTAAGGTAAAAACACTGTTAAACAATTAATAAAATAATATGTATTATAATATAACAATAAAAATAAAACAGATTTTACATAAAAATTACCCGATTACAAATATAATTTTATATTATGGCACAATTTTTTTGATGATACAAAGTCGTAATATTATTTTTAAGTTTAGTTTTTTATTTAGTGAAGTTATGATTACTTTGTGTGTAATTTTGGTATTCGACCTTTACTATATTAGGGTTTTTTACGCTTATGAAGTACCACAAACTGTTCCACCTTTTTAATCTTCCAATTGACTAGGAATACAAAATATGTAACTTAAAATATTTAGAAGTACAATATTGATGATTATTAATTACAAATGATACATTAATTGTATTGATTTATCACTATCTACTATTTGTAATATATGTGAATATATAGATATATTGTTTGATGATTAAAATATAAAAGAAAAGAAACTGAAAAGTTAAAATATTTAAGGAATGTAAAAGACCTGTTAGTATTATTTTGTTGTATCATTTATTTAATTACATTTTTTAATTCAACATTATTTATTTCATTAACTTCTAATTGACTTATAGAATAGTTTATTCATTGTTGATTGTAATATGTGGCAATACGTTCTATGAACATGAATATAATAAATTTATACATGTACAAAAATAAAACTTTTACTTAAATTGCTTATATTGGTTGCTATGACTCAATATAAAATACTTTTTGCTAGCACGCTGTGAATAATGAGTAAAAACTAACTTTGGGTTTTAAATACATTTGCTAGTGATGACTATTAGTGTGGAGACGTTTCTTCTGGCATACTGAGCTCCATTTGCATTGATCCTAATGACATCTGTAGATTATTGCTTAAATTACCAACACTATCTGCACGAGGTAATCGTTTGCCAAAATGTCTTTCAACCCATTTCAACATAGTCAATACAGAATCTGTGCTTGGCAAACGACGTTCGGCCGATGTTTTTACAATTTGAGACTGGGCTACTCTGAAAGTTGCTGCCATACCTTTTAATGCCTTTCAAATAATATACATACAATTAGACCGTTATATTATTTATTTGAAGATGAAGAGAAATTACCTGCATTGCATCTTCATCAGTTACATCATCTCCAGCATAAATAATGCGTATGCGTTCACTCCAATCCAAACCAAAAGCTGTACGTAAGATATACAAAGATGCACGTCCCTTATTCCACTGTACTGGAGGTTTGGCTTCAATGGCACAATGAGCCTGACCTGCTTTAAAACCTGCCTCTTCAATGAGTCGCTGTGCTGTGGCTGCAAGCTCAAGTCGAGCATTTACAGGCACTTCACGGTAATGGTATGTCAATAAAGTACCTTTATTTTCAACCCATGCGCCGTCTTTACAAACCTAAAAAACAAAAACCAATAAGTCTGTTTGTAAATTCTTATGTTATTAATTATATTATGTAACTTGATAATTACTTGTTCTTGAAGCACTTTCAATAGATCACCAACTTTATCTTCATATTCTTTAGGCATTGGATGCACAAACCTACTTCCATCTGGATGAAGAATTTCCAGTCCATGATTACCAGCATAAGTCAAACCCTCAATTCCAACCTAAGGTTAATACAATTATTTGTAGTTATTTATTTTGTTGTACATATTACACAATTTAAAAGTTATTAACAAACCATGTCTTTGACATTGTGAACATTTCTACCAGAAATAATGGATATGTATACATCAGACATATTAGCCAACCTTTCTAAAACACTTTTAGTTTCTAAAGGTAATATAGCGAGGTCTGGATGAGGAGCTAATGGAGCCAATGTACCATCATAGTCCAATAGTAATGCAAGTTTGTTTGTGTTACCAATGTATCTATAATAAAAATGAATAAATAAAGTATACATATTTATATATATATCGTAAAAAACCATTATTTACTTAGACAAATAATCATCAAAGTCCTGTAAAGTGACTGGTTGCATAGTAGTTGGCAAAACATCATCTCCATCTTCAAATATTAGAGTTCCCATTGCTTTAAGGAAAGATCGCATCCAATAATCAACATCGTGTATTTTTTCCCTACGTCTTAAACACCTCATTCTTAACATTCTTTCATCTTCAGGCATGGTCAAAGCTCTATGCAAAGTATCAGCTGCTTCAACTAATTCATATGGATTACAAATTAAAGCTTCATGCATCATTTCACCAGCACCAGCAAATGGTGATACAATTAGAACACCAGGTGGTTCCCTAATTTGACAAGCAACAAACTCTTTGGCGACTAAATTCATGCCATCTCGAAGTGGTGTAACCATTGCTACAGCTGAGTCACGGTAGAAAGCTGCCAAATCATTTTGACTGACACACCCATAAATATATCTAATAGGTGACCAATTAGGTGTTGTGAAACGTCCATTTATTCGTCCAACAAGCTGGTCCATTTCCTCTTTAAGGTCCTGGTATTCCTTAACATCTGTCCGTGATGGTACAGCGATTTGCATAAGTGCTACTTTACCCTTGTGTTGTGGATATCGCTCCAATAACAATTCAAAAGCCTTTAGTCTATGTACTAATCCTTTAGTGTAATCCAAACGATCTACACCAAGTACCAATTGTAATGATGTACTTATTACTGTAGGTGCTTGCTCTGCCATTTCTACAAATCGATCAAATGGTATACCAATTGGCAATGGACGAATACGTACTGTGCGGCCACCATGTTCAACAAGTAAATTTTTTCGATCTACACGGCAACCTAATCTCCGCTGACAGCAATCCACAAAGTTTAAACAATAGTCTTCGATATGAAAACCAACCATATCACATCCTTGAAAATAAAGTAAACTTTAGTATAATCTATAAAAATTAATTTATTATTATTACACTGGTATGTACATACCTAACATTCCTTGAAGAATTTCATCAGACCATGGAAACAGCCTAAAAATATCCCATGGAGGGAATGGTATATGAAGGAAAAATCCTAATTTGAATTTCAAATTTTTTTCATCTGCCGCCTAAAAAAATAATTTTATATAATTATATATGTAATGTATATTACATAATATACAATGTATTCAGATGGTTAAAAAAAAATTACACTTTAAGTGTATTGTCAAAAGAAGTATGCAAGTTTTTTTTTTGGTGTTTTAATTATAAATGGTAAATAATACTTTTATATATAATTTACTAATAGTAAATATATATATATATATATATTTATTAATATACCTATTATATATTGAATTTTCTGTTATAAAAATAAGATTTAATGTGATAACATAATTTCAATATAATTGCCATTTTTTTACCTGATTAAATCAGTAGGACATTTATATAAAAATTATATTTTAAATATAAACTATTTTATTGTTAGATAAACTGTTTTTACTTCAGAAAATAAGGAAGTACAAATTGGTTGTGCAAATATTTAAAAAAAAAATATGCCCATACATCCTTTTGACTAAGGGCTATTTATGTATGAATATAAGCACTATTTTACATTTCTAATGCTGTTGGCTGCTAACATGAGATGATAATCATGTAACCAAACAAGA